GCTTAAAACAGCATGGAACTAGATGGTTGTCATGTGATGGGCATGGTCCTAAGAAGCTGTCTTCCTGTTGAAGATACTGGGGCCCCAAGTATGGATTTATAAATGAGCAGGAGAGACTTGGGCTAAGATTTCTTTCGAAGATTTCCTTCTTGGTCATCCTTGGCATTCTCTGGTATACATTTTACCATTTTACCCGTGTGTGTGTGTGTGTGTGTGTGTATGTGTGTGTGTATGTGTGCGCGTGCATGCACACGTATATTGTCCACCTTGAAGAGGTGTGGGCTTCGGTTGTTGGAGAAGTGCATGGGAGTGTGGTGAGCATGTGATGACAGTGGCTGCACTCCTGCAAGAAACCCTCACAAGCCTGAAGGCTGCCTCAGTCTTAGCCACGTGCTTTCTTTGGAGTGCCTTGAAAAATAATCCTGTGTGCTAAGCTCTAACTAACATGCTTAATTCCAACAAACCTAAATGAGAAAAATGGGCTTCGAGTACTCTGTTTCTCTTGATATGTGACTTAGCCAACACTTAAACCCAGTTCTTTTTTATGTGTATGAGTGATTTGCATACCATCTGTGTGTTGTATCTCATGTATGCCTGTTGCCCATGGAGGCCTGAAAAGGGCTTTGGGTCCTCTGGAACTGAAGTTACAGATGATAGTGAATTGCCATACAGGTGCTGGGAACTAAACCCAGGACCTCTGCAAGAGCAGCCAGTGCTCTTAACTGCTGGGCCATTTCCCCAGCCCCTCAAGTCCTATTTTGTCTAGCTGTATCCAAGCCTTCATATTTTTTTTAAAGATTAATTTATTATGTATATAGTATTCTGCCTACATATATCCTGTAGGCCAATAGAGGGCACCAGATCTTATTACAGTCACTTTTTTAAAATTTATTTATTATGTATAAAATATTCTGTCTGCGTGTATGCCTGCAGGCCAGAAGAGGGCACCAGACCTCATTACAGATGGTTGTGAGCCACCATGTGATTGCTGGGAATTGAACTCAGGACCTTGAGAAGAGCAGGCAATGCTCTTAACCACTGAGCCATCTCTCCAGCCCCAGATCTTATTACAGATGGTTGTGAGCCATCATGTAGTTGCTGGGAATTGAACTCAGGACCTCTGGAAGAGCAGTCAGTGCTCTTAACCTCTGAGCCACCTCTCCAGGCCCCCCCACCCCCCCAAGCCTTCATATTTCCACCAGAGTCTATTTTACGTTGAGTCTCTGCTATAAAGACTTCTGAACCAGACAAGGCAGCTACTACAATTGCATGGCTTCTGACTGAACACCTGCTGTAAAGTTGTAAAGAGATTAGAAACTAGACCTGTGGACAGGATCTCATGTTTTCTCTTGTAGTCAACAGGAAAGCTGGGTGTGCAGTCACATCTCTGCTAGCCTCGGAGCTGACCAAGGATGATGCCATGGCTGCTGGTCCTGCTAAGGTGTCCAAGAAAAGTGAAGGCGTCCCCACAATCCTTGAAGAAGCCAAGGAGCTGGTTGGCCGTGCAAGCTAAGCTGGGTTCTATGGCCATTGCTGCTCCTAAGTGAAGCCCAGACTGTCTACCTGCAGCATGTGCCTAAATGGTCAAGGGAATATCCCCTGCAGTGGCCACTCCATCACCTGACCCTGATTTTCTGTCTGGCCTGCTGCTCTCTGAACATCACACACAGCTTCAGCTTCCTGGAGGCCAGAAGGAAAGGGCAGTGTAGGGGTGGCCTGAGCCCAGCCCAGCCAACCCTGGCTGTGGTATTACCAAAGCAGGGTCCGTGTGTGCTGCCTTAATCCTGACTCCTCCATGTTATCCAGAGATCCTGGTCTCAGACAGAACCCAGCCTGCTTTCTCAGCCCCACTTTCTAGTGGGCCTTCCCCTAGGTCAATCTTGCTGGATTTGTGCTTTTCTTTTGTGGTTTCTCTGGCCCTGAGAACAGCATGGGACTTGTGAAGCTTTGGGCTAGATCCTTTCGCTGCTGGCACCTCTGCTTTTCCTCCTGGCAGTTATTTATTACTCGTGCTGTGGCATTGGGAACTGCTTCTGCAAAAGCAGGAAGCAGATCCCACCCTTACCCTACTTTCCTGGGAAGTCTCCCAGGCAAAGGGTCTCAACCACTCTCCTTGGTTCCACTGTGGCCCAGGTCTGAGCCATAGGCAGGTAGCTAGGGCATAGCGACAGTGTGGGGCCCGCCCCCTGCCCACTGCCATGCTTTGTGCCCTTGCCTCCCTGAACCCTCTGTGCCAGCCCTCCCCCCACCTCCCCCCTGCAACTGAGCCCCCTCCCCTATGCCTTCCCCAGAGCTCTGGTGCATCTCATTTGGAGTGTGGGCTGTAGTGTGACCATCCCAACACCTCACCCCTCCATCCAAGGATATGGGAGGTGGAGCCTCCTGGCTGAGAACTTGTTTTGCAAATGGATCTATTTTTATATGAAAAAAATTTTTTTAAGGAAAAATAACTTTGGTCCCCTTTCCCCTTCATAATAAAAGAGGCTTTGATGGTAGATTCAAATATTCCTGGGGTCAGTCCTGAACATGGTCTAGGTGTTGGTCCCATCCCTCAAGACTTAAACCCAAGGTAGACCCTTCCCTAACATCAGTTCTGGGGCAAGACCATTTCTCTGGTTGGGCTGGGCCACACCATAGGATAGCAAGAGCTCCAATCCTGTGTTTTCCATGAATGTATTAAATTATCAAGCCAAACGTGCAGATGCTAAGTGGATGCTGAGAAGTAGCACAGGGTTGTACCTCCCCACCCCCCACCCTGGACTGTAGAAGCAACAAGTCAGACTGAGGCCCAAACCTCGGGAAGCTCAGATTCTCTGACTTAGGGTCACTTTCTTGTCCTCCTTTAGCCCCTTCCACTTTCCCTCTGAGGCTACCGAGAAGGAATGATAGATACTGTCCAGGCTTGACACAGGATTCCAGTTGCCAGAGCATGGGGGAGTTTAGGAAATGCAAGGGCGGCCAGTACAGCCCTGTGGCCAGGGAACATGGTCCGGGTTGCTAGAGCTCCTGGGCTACTCCTGAGAAGACTGGTGCAGGGTCTGGTTCTTTCCTGAGCCACCTCCTTGCTAGCTGACATCTGGGGCTTTGACCTTTTTCTTTTTTAATCACTTTTGCTAAAATGCATTTAATTAAAAAAAATTTTTTTTTAAGTAGAGGGGACAAAATGCAAACTCCTTGCCTCTTGGGCTTCTGGGATGTCATCACCTCCAGTTTGATGGATTTGTTTCCAACTGTCAATAAAGCATTGAAACAGAACCTCCCTTTTAGCCTCCTTTGTAAAACTCTGGACCAGTTCTTTTCATTACAGTAGTCTGGGCATCTCTTCAGTGGTTTCCCAGTCAAAAGCTAACCGGTCTAGCAGACATGAGCTTGGACATGATGAATGCATGTGGTTTCTGCAGTCCAGGGCCCCCTCTCAGGGCTGTTGTCCCGTTTACTTACAGCTTCTTCCCACACTGTGACCCTTTGGCTTGGAGCCCTAGTTTTTTATCTTATTTCCAACTCCCCACTTTCCCAGCATCTCCAGGTGCCACAGTTTTCTGGCCAGTACCTATGTCCTCCATCCCCCATCAAGTTAGAGGGGCTCAACCCTGAGATTGGGATGCTGAGTCTGCCCAACCTGGGTCAGAAGCCCCAGGCCAAACACCAGAGGACTTGCCACTAAGCTAGGCTTGTCCAAGCAAGTTTTAACTCTCACAAAGACACCTTACAGTGAGCCTGCCAATGATAGACAGGGTGGGCCTTTGGACAGCCCTATACTAGAAATAAAAACCTTTTAAATAGCTCCTGGACCTGTGCAGCTGCTACCCTGTGGCAGTGGCCGGAGGTGTGGGGGTGGCTACCTGCCTCTAAACCCTAGAGGCTGTGCGTTTCATCTCATCTTTGGGGGCCCACACACCAATTAGAGGACCAACCACAGCTGCTTATTGCCTGGAATAGAACCCAGGCGCCTAGCACCCCGCCCTCCCCAACACTAGGCTCGGAGAAAACCCTGCTCTCTCAGCAACCTCACACACCACCACCCTTCCCACGCAAAGTCAAAGTCGCCAGGAAGGTTTGGTTTCCATGGCAACAGATCAGGAGGCAGCAGAACTGGTAACCGGAATCCAAGGGAGGAAGCCCAGAAAATGCTCTTCTGGCTCTTCGATAGACATGCCCTCACTGACCCTCCTGAAAAACCTGTGTCTCTTTGTCATTCTCTGGATCAACCCTCCTGACTCCCGCACCTTCTCGAGCTGCAGCAACCCGGGAATCGGATTTAGCAGTGCTAGCAGCTAGAGGGGGAGTGGAGAAGCCACAGAGAAGAGGGAGGTGGGGGACTGGGTTTCAAGGCCATCTCCTCGTGCAGCTCCTTCGACTCCATGAAGAAAGGAATAGGCTCTTCAATTAGGCTTTGCTGCATAAAAAGAATGGGAAGGCAAGTTCCAGGTAGAGAAACTGAGGCTCAAGATAGGAATTGCCTCTCGGACATTCATTCCCACTGTTTTCCTCAAACCTTTACTGCTACAGTGGAGGAGGGTAGGCACGGGAGACCCCGCCCTCCTCTGGATCAACCTACTCCGGGAGTAGCTTGTGGGGGAAGGGGAGGGAGCTACAGAAAAGTCCCCTGCACCGCCCTCCCAGCAACAATTGAGTTCCCACCCCCACTCGTGCTCCTGCTTCCCCCTCCCACGCAAGGTCTCCTTTTCTGCCTGGAGACAGCACAGAGCATAAATAATCTGCGCACTTAGTTGCGCGCGCACTCAAACTCCCCACCCCCACGTTGGTCTCTGCAGCGACACCACCGCATACAGATCCACAAGCACCATTTACAGTCCATCACCTATTAGAGAACCAGGGTATCGGAAGCACGCACGCCATATTGGACAGTCCTGAGGACTGCACACGCGCGCGCGCGCACACACACACACACACACACACACGCTATTCAAAACTAGATTGAGATGCTTAGTGACACAGAAGACAACTTGATTCTATTATTTAGGACAAACTCCTTGACTCCACCCACATGTCTTGTGTTCCATCTCAGACGCAGTCAACCTTTCAGAAGAAACCTTTTTTTTTAATTTTTAATTTTCGAAGAAAAAAGCCATATAAATATTAGAGTATAAAACTTGCGAGAGATATCAGAAGGGGGATGGGCAGGAGCTACGTGACTATGCGAAGAGAAGCTTTTTATAGAGGAGTCAGTACAGGGAGGGGTCGCCGCAGCGTTGTGGACACAGCACAAAACACAGCACAGGCCTGCGCAGGCAGATTGAGATTCAAGGACAGACGGCTGCGCACAGCCCACCGCCCGCTGCCCACTTCGCCATCACGTAAAAGCACACCACACTACACTATTGGCTATTCTACACCAGCCGGGGGTGGGGGGCGTCTATACTACTGTAAGGGCCGGGGTCAGAGGAGGGTGGGCAGAGGAAGTTCTATGCACAAGGAGGCACTGGGGGGCTTTAACCAGTCTCTGGCCACGAAGGGGCAGCCTGGGGCCTGGGCAGAGGCCTTCTGAGAAGAAATGGCACCTGGTAAGGTGGAGGCCAGGGGCTTGAGAACTACAGGGGCCCAGTGGAGAAGCCCCACAGTTGGCTGAGACTTTATGGCCACTTGATCCCTTGTTCAAGCTCCTTGACTCAACCCAGGGGCCAAGAATGGCCTTGCCTGGTCTCCTTTCCTGCTAGGACCACTGACCCTTCTACCAGGGGCACCTCTGGAGTACCCAGCACCCACAGAGGCTCCTCTTTCTTCTCTGGTCCTACAACCACTTGGAAGTCTTCTTGGACTGAAATGCCAGCTTAAATCCACTGGTCCTGGTGGCTCAGCCCAGGCTGGACCAGGGTGGAGGGGTCTGACCTGGTGTTTGTCTATGGCTAGAATTGGGGGATTGGGTGTACCCTGGGTACACACAGAGCCCGCATACCCTGTTAGCGGGTTGGCTGTTTTGTCCCTGTAGCTTCCCACCCCCTACTGTCTCCAGACATGCAAAGGAGTCTCTTCTTTGAGGAGCAGGGGAGTCACAGCATGCAGTGGGAACATCAAACAGTGAAACACAAAAGACTGGTCCCCAGGCGTTGAAAAGAGACTTGGTAGCAAAATGCCTTCCCAAAACCCAGCAAGCATCAATACCAGGGGGATGGTGACTGTCCCCCTAAACTTAAGCACTAGTCTCGCGCTCTAGAAGGAAATGAGAAGACTGGTACCAAACCATGCTTTGGGGGGAAGCTGAACTGAAGGAGAGGCCAAAAGGTTGTGATATTCTCCCAACAATTCGGAACTAGGAGCCTGCTTAGGTCACCTGTCCCCTCAACAGCCCTTGCTCAAGAGGGACTGAAGGAGTGGGTGGGGTGGGGAGGAGGGCAGGAGATGAATGAGCCTGACTGAGTTGGAAGGTGGAGGAGTTCAGCTGTAACTAAGGGAGTGTGGCAGGGTTTTCCACACAAATCCTACTACCCATGTGGGGGCAATCACTGATTGGATGGATAGGGGTTCCCAGCAGAACTCTCTTTGCATATTCAACCCCCTAGGGCACAGAGAGGGGGTGTTGACTTGGGCACTTGTTTCTGTTTCCCAACGGGAGAGCATGGCCTTGGCTCCTACCAGTATCCTGGGGTGAGCCCTGAAATTCTGAGGCCTGGGTACAAGTAAGGACAAGCTGGACTGGCTGGGGAGGGAGGCTGCCCTGTGACTCAAGGCCTGGCCTCCATATTACTTCTTCTCTTTCTTGCCGGACTTCTTTTTGTTGCCGTTACCACCTGCTGCTGGAGCCTTGCCATCTCGCTTGCCAGCTGCGTTGGTCAGTGTGGCATTGCTGCCAGGGATGTACACATTCTGGCGGTAGTCGGGCACATGCTGCAGGGTGAACTGGGGTCCATAGCGAGCACTCAAGCCCATGGTGCCAGCGCCCCCTCCTAAAGTGGAGCTCCCATCAGCAGCTTCTGCAGAGACAGGAAGAGCAAATGTTCAGATGAAGTGAGGGACTCTCTTAAACATCAGTTAGTGAATGCTGGTACCGCACCCTGGAACCCGACCGCTGGGAATGCAGTGGCCACCAAGGCAGTCCCGATGCCAAGGAGTGACAAAACACAGGTTTGAGTCCCAGTTCTCCTTCGCCCTGCGATCCTTAGCCATTCTGCCTGGCCTCCCTGTACTATCTGCTTTCTCATGCATAAAATGAAGGTAATAGAGAGTATTCACTTTGGATGAGAATTAAATGGGAAGATGCTTCTAAAGTGCCTAGAATACCTTGGTGTGTGGTGGTGCTCAAAACATGCTAGCTAGCATCTCTCTGTGGCTTCAAATACTTTCCCCTGGCGTCCACACTAGACCATGCTTTGTACATTATCCTTCCTTAGCCAAGGCCTGGCACATGTGTGTACTCTGCAGTTCTGCCATTAATGTGTATACAGGGGTTCTTCTGTTTGTGTTTGTACATATGTCTATCTGTGTGGTGCTGGGAACTGAACCCCTGTTCTAAGCAAGCACTCCCCAAGCTGAACTACATACCTAGTCCAGCCCTTGTTGTTTTGTGTGTGTCTGTGTGTGTTGTTGTTGTTGTTGTTGAGACAGGGTTTCCCTGTAGCCCTGGTTCTCCTGGAACTCACTCTGTAGATCAGGCTGGCCTTGAACTCAAAGATCCATCTGACTCTGCCTCCTAAGTGCTGCGTTTTAAGGCTTGTTCCACCACGGCCAGGCAGTTCTTGTTGTTTAACACAAGGTCTAACACTAGGTAGGTAGGGGCGGGGGTGGGGTGGGCATGCCTTTAATCCCAGCACTCAGAGGCAGAGGCAGACATATCTCGTAGTTTGAGGCCAACCTGGTCTATAGAGCAAGTTTTAGAACAGCTAGGGTTACACAGAGAAACTCGTCTTGAAAACAAAAAACAAAAATAATAATGTTTCACTGTGTAGCGCTGGAACTATTTAGACCAGGTCTATCTCTGCCTCCTCAGTGCTGGGATTACAGATATGTGTTACCATGCCAGCCCAACATATATTTCTTTCTTTTTCTGTCCTCCACCACCCCCAACCCCCAGTGCTAAGAACCCACCATGGGCCTTGCACAAGCACTCTAGCACTGAGCTGAGCACCCACCATGGGCCTTGCACAAGCACTCTAGCACTGAGCTGAGCACCCACCATGGGCCTTGCACAAGCACTCTAGCACTGAGCTATGTCTTCTGTGCTTGGTTTTTGGAGAAAAAGGTCACCAAGGCAGTCTCCTGGCATAAAGAGACAGAAATCAAGAGACAAAACACGGGTGGTTCAAACTAGAAATCCTTCAGCCTCCATTTCCTGAAGGCTGAGATGACAGGCATTGACCACACCAGGCCTGGCTGCACCCTCTTCTTGACAGCGTTGGACTTAAGACTTGGTGGCAAGCATGTATGTAGTCACTTAAACCTCAACACAACACTCAGTCAGGCATGGTGGGAGGGAGGGGGCTCTGCCCTTAAAACAGGGAACCAAGGCTGAGAGAAGGCCAGTGGCAGACCATGTGTTACAGTGGGACTCCGTCTTCCGGGTATCTGAATGGTGGAAATAGGTACCTTTGCCTCCTTCACCAACTTGGACCATATCTCTGCTCTGGGAGCAAAGAAATGGGCAAAGGAAGGTTGCCCCTCCCTCCAGGAACAGATGTCTTAGGTATAGCCCAGATATGGGGCTCAGGGCCTGAGGCGGGTGACTCAGTGCCCCTTAGGCCAGCTTCCCACTGAACCGAAGAAGAAACTGGAGCTGGGAGTGGCACACTTGCAGGTTCCTGATTTGCATGGTAACGAGATCTCCTGAGGATCTGAGTCCGCGGCATTAGAGCAGAAGCACAGAAATACTCATCCCGGGGCTTCCGTGAGGATTAGATGAGACACTCATGCTCTGGAGCTTGACAAGTGTTGGATAAATGCTGGGCACAGCTGCCTCCTTGTCACCCTCGTCACCCAGCGACAGCCAGTCCACCGAGCTCTCGGCCCGGCCCGGAGCTGGTGGTGGGGAGGGAACTGGGAGTTTGGCCCCCAGATTCCCAGCGGGAGGCTCTCAAACCCTCTGTGACGCAGAGAGAGTTAAAGCCCCAGGAAGGCCCTGCCCAGCCTGACTAAAAGCTGAAGACTTTACCGCCTAGCTGCGGCCTCCACCCTAGACCTGGAAGCAAGCAGACTAAAGCTAGGGAGGCTGAGTAATTCTGGGACATCCACCAGGGGTTGAGAAATCGAGACAGGAAGTAGTTCCAGTTTGGGTAAGAGGGGAAGGCCGGAGAAAGAAAGAGCAGAGATGTCTGGGTCTCTCTGCCTCGCACTCCATCCAGAGTCTGGGTTCCCACAGCTCTCTATTTTCCAGTCCCCAAAGTCCTGGAGCTGAGGACCTTCTGGGAGCAGGCCTGGGAGGAGGGAACAGCTGCCCCTTCCCATCCCCCTCAGCCCTTTCATTTGCTGACATTTCCCTAATTAACTCCAGGAGGTAGCAATCCTCCATGGCCCACCCCTCCTCTCAAACTGCCAGCCTCTGCCAGCCTGAGAAAGGAAGGGGGAAGGGCCTAGATCCAGTTTCAAAGAGCCAGGATTCCAAAGTGATTTAGGGGCTTAAGAAGATAGGGGTGTGTGTGTGTGTGTGTGTGTGTGTGTGTGTGTGTGTGTGTGGAAAGAATGTGAGGGAATAGAGAAGGAGGGCTGGCAGAAAGACAGGAAGTGCTTAACTGAGTGACACTGAGTGACAGGGAAGTCTAAGATTGAGGTGGATCAGAAGGGAGAGATGCTGCGTGCAGCAGAGGCTAACACTGGAGTTCGCCCCGTCAGCTCGGCCTTAAGTGGCTGTGTGATCTTGTCTCAGGGCCTGTATACCGCAGCTTGCCCGGCTCTGGATCTGTGGGGAGGGGGGCAGAAGAAGCTGGATTGCCAACTTTGACCTTCTGGTCATGTCCTACCCGCCAAGACTTGGCCTAGGCAGGGACCAGGGTTTTCTCCTAGTCGCAGAGGACGTGTACTTAAGAATGCAAAAAGCAGGGTCGCTTCTAGCTGGAGGAGGGGTGCTGGCTTCCTCCAGCTCCAAACTCATTACCACACTCCCCTGGTCCCCTTGATATTACCAGTCCTAGTTAGACAAAGACTCCACAACAGCAATAGCCAGAGATAGCCAAGGAAGCGAGTTCAGAGCTGGCGGAGCTGCAAAACCGCAGCCTCCTTTTGGGTGCACCTCCCCCAAGGGTTTATTTAAGAGCTCTTTCAAGGGTCCCTCCCTTCTCCCCTCGCTGGGCTGGGCTCCAGGAGCCTCTTGGGAGACTAGGAAGTAGGTGTGAAAGTGAGAGCAAGGCTTGACCCTGCCACCTCCACCCTGAGTCTATTTCCCCGGAGCCCCAGGCTCAGCCTTGGGTCAGGTCCTGTGTGGGCCGCACGGGTGGAGCCCTGACAGGGAAGCGTGCCCGCGGCCATGGCACTGCTCCAGGGAGACCTTCTGGGAAGGTTTTGGGCCATAAATACTGCTTCCAGTCTGTTTTTAGCATCTGGATTTGGGCTGAAAAGCCTGCTTTCTGGCCTTAGGGCTCAAGGCCACAAAAGCTAAAGAGACCTGTTTACTTCCCTCAAGAGCTGGACCTGGCACCTCCCCAGGCCCAGTGTCTGTCAAGGATCTCAACCCTGTCACTAGAGGTTGACAGCCCCCAGCATCTTTCCCCCTCCTCTGCACATTGGTCAGCCATAGGCCAGGCATCATTGGCTCTCATAGACAATCGAGGGTAAGATTAATAAATCATAACAAGTAAAAAAAAAGTTCAGCTATCTCTGAACTTTGGGTAGACAATGAAAATTTTAATTCAGTTTGCCTTGTGAAACAGTTTAAAATGGATTTATACTAAAACTGTATATAACCCGGGCAGTGGTGGGGCACTCCTTTAATCCTAGAGGCGGAGGCAGGCAGATCTCTGGGTTCGAGGCCAACCTGGTCTACAGAGTGAGTTCCAGGACAGCGAGGGCTACACAGAGAAACTGACTAGAAAAAACAAAACAAGACAATGAAAACAATAGCAACAACAAAACCAAAAAGGATATATTCATCTGAAATTTATATTTAACTGGGAACCCTAGATTTTATCTGGCAACTCTAATCAGGGAGAATAATGCAGGGCAGAGCAGGAGAATTCAGCCTCTGGGTCCAGTTAGCTAAGAGGGAAACAGGCTGGATCTGGAGTGGAAGAAAGAGCATGACCCTGGGAGTGGAGCTGAGTTTGAATCCCAGCTCTGCTGAATACTGGGACACTCCAGGTGAGTGACATTTCATATCGCTCTGCTCTGCATCTCACCATTATAGAGAAGATTAGTTGAAGCATGCCCTAAAAGTCCTGCCATAATGACAGGGGGGCATTTCTCCTGGCTCTGTGCCTATCAATCTTGTACACCCAAGAGCAAAGCTATGGATTCAGGTTCGAGTCCAGGACTTTAAAATCTTCTGTAAGTTTCCAGTAGACTTCATTTTCCTGGGCCGGAAGTTAGTCCTTATCAACAGGTGTTAGATTCTAATTTAATTTTTTGTGCTAGAATACAAAGTAAGGAGTTTCACTGTGGTACCTTGACACATGTGTGCAATCGAAATTAGGTTCTGATTCTGTGATGTCTTTGTCCAGCATGTACGAAGTCCTGGGGGCCTGATCCCTAGCGCCTTACACACCAGGCAGAGTATCACACAGCTATAATCCCAGCACTGGGGAGGTGGAGACAGGAGGGTCAGAAGTTCGTACGTGGAGTTGGAAATCAGCCTGGCTACAGGAGCCCCGGTCTCAAAAGAAAAGTGCTTCTTTTTTTCTTTCCTTTCTCTTTTTATCCCAACAGGTCAATAAAGATAATGACTAATCAATTATAGCACTCTCACTAGAATTACTGTCTGCCAAACCTATGCTGAGGACCTCATGCTTGACCTCAAACAGCACAGTGAGTTCTATAAATATTTCATAAGTGAAAGTAAAGCCTACAGGGGCTTAATAGTTTACCTAATGCCATATCCCTAAGTGGGGACAAGCAGGATTTGAACCCAGATTGGCCAGCTTCCAAAGTCTGTGCTCTTTAGTGTTAGGGAGCTGATTGTTTGCTCTGCAGAGGACCCTGTGACTCTTGATGTATAACCACTGGCTGAATCAATGTTACGACTGAGGTTCTTTCTTAGCCTTGTGGGAAAACTACAGTCCTGATCTGGAGGCAAGGGGGAGCAGAAAAGAGTGGGCTGATATAATCTGCTGGGAACATCCACACGCACTAACGGGGTCTGGCGTGTGCCGGGCCCAATCCTCCTGCCTTGGCCTATAGAATACTGAGATTACAGATGTGTGCCTCTGCACCCAGCTCCCAGTTAGACTTGTGACTACTCACTTTACTTGCTCACTCTGCTCTGGGCATTTTCAGACCTCTCAATCCCTTTGTTATCCCCCAACCTGGAGTAGGTCATGGAAGATTGCCTGATCTTCCAGAGAAGTCATACAGATTTATACCCCATTTATAGCTATGATGGCAGCACCCCCCCTCAGTCTCCCATCCTCTTACACCCATGGGTACCACTTACCACTGGCAGAGGCCAAGATCATGGCTTGCAGCATCTCTGTATCAAACTGGTTGTTGGGCCAGGTGCCGGTTTCATCACCATTTTGGGAGCTGGGGAGACAGTTAAATGGTCAGCAGTAGCCAAGGCTAGCCCTGCTCATTCTCCCTGAGTCTCTTCCTGGGGTTCCCAAATCTAGTGCCTTATCCCCACCCCATACCTAAGACCTGTTTCCGAGTGGAGTGGGAAGCCAACCCCAGTGAGTCCGTTCCCTGGACCCACTCTCTGCTGTCCCAGGTGCATTAAATGAATGCCATACTTCCATTCTTCAAGATAGGCTGTGGCCACTGTTGCAGCCTGAGACATCAGACCGTCTTCCGAGGACAGCGGAAGACCACAATTTGAGGGAATGTCCCATAGCTAGAGGAAGGGCCAGGAAGAAGAGAGGAAATACCAGGAAAACACTCAGCCCTAAGTAACCCAAAAGCAGTGTCCCAAACTCAGATCTGCCCGTCCCTAAAGTCTACAGTCACACCACACTGTCCGTCCTGTTTTACAAGCACACCTTCCTGGCTCTCGCCAATTTCCCAGTGACTTCCCTCTCAAGATCTCTATTGCCGACCCCCAGATAAACCACACACAACCTTTGTTTTAGCAATGCAAATAAAATGTGTCCTCGGGGATTCTAAAATTCACGGGGCTGGGCTGTGCCCTGTTGTGTGGTCCTGGAACTACTGGTGTCCCATCTGCTCCTTTGCTACTTTGGCCTCTGTGGCTTGGGGACCAGTGCCAGCCTCCTACTGAAACATTCGGTAGGAAGCCTGAGCACCTGGGCTTCTTTAGGTCCCTGGGCAACACTGTGCATTGAAAGCATGAAGTGACTCATGCCTCTAAAACCAGAGTGCTAAGAAATTGCAATTCATTGTGGACCTTCCTGTGGTGACAATTTCCATGTCTCCTTCCTTCCTTCCTTCCTTCCTCTCTCTCTGTCTGTCTGTTTCTGTTTGTTTGTTTTCATGACAGTCTCACTCTGTATGCCAGGCTGGCCTATGTGGGCCTCAAACTCACAGTAATTCTCTTGCCTCAGCCTCATGAGTGCTGGGATTACAGGTATATCCAGCCATACCTAGCCATCATATGGATTTTCAAAGATCAAATTATTCTAGTTTGCAGGGGCGAGGAAAGAAATCGCACACCTATCTTGGCCCACATTGGAACCATCTGGCTCACAGAAGATCCCCCAGTCAACAACTGCTGCCTGGCTGGGCCTGGTGGTGCATGCCTATAATCCTAGCACTCGGGAGGCTGAGACAGGAAGATTTTTTGAGAGTTTGAGAACAGTCTGAGCTGCATAGGGATAAATTTGCCTCAAACAAGTAAATAAATAAAAGTTGCTTGAATGAATGAGAAGAGCTCATGGGAGAGTCGGGTTCCTATGAAGTAAAAAAAGGTTGGCATTGAGGAAAAGGCTTCAGAACAGATCTTGAAGAGTGGAAGAAAGCACATGCATGTGTGTGTAACCCTGGAAGAAAGCGCGTGTGTGTGCATGCGTGTGTGTGCATGCGTGTGTGTTTGTAACCCTGGAAGAAAGCGCGTGTGAGTGTGTGCATGCGTGTATGTGTGTAACCCTGGAGGCTGAGGGAGGAAGACTGAGTTTAAGGCCAGCCTGGTTATACAGAAAGACCCAGTCTTAAAAAAAACCAAGACTGGCTCTGAGGTAGAGTGCGGTAGAGTGCTTGCCTAGCAGTAGACAAACAGATAGACACAGCTTTATAAGGCTGGCCACTGTGGTGGATGTCTGTGATCCCAGCACTGCAGAGGCCAGGTGGGTTAATCAGTTGAGCCCCAAAGTTAGAAGTGAGTCTGGGCCACATAGAGAGCGCTTGTTTCAAAAGAGATAAGACAGAAATGAAAATAGCCATAGTGAAGAAGCCTGGGGACACAACTTCTACCAAGGGAACAAACAATTCTGATAACAAGGCAAACAGATGCCAAAAGTTGCTAACAGGACAGACTGACAGTAAGTGCTTCCTGATGTGGTCAGTGGTCAATCCAGAATACCACCCATGGAATGTTCCTGCTGAGACTGTTGAGTTATGTTGCTGTTTAGCCAAAAGAATCAACAAACCCAGACTATGGGCATCTAAAAGACTACTGGTCTGGAAGCTTTAAAAGTATGTCACTGGAGAGATGGTTCGGTGGTTAAGAGCACTGACTGCTCTTCCAAAGGACCCAGGGTTCAACTCCCAGCACCCACATGACAGCTCAGAGCTGTCTGCAATTCCAGTTTCAGGGGACCCGACACCATGACAAAACACAAATGCACATAGAATAAAAATAAAATTGCAAAGAAAAAGAGTAAAAGATCTATGTCATAAAAACAAAGGTAAGGAGGCTGTTCTGATTAAAGCAGAAGGAAGAGACATGGCAAATGTAATTCATGCTCCTTGATCAAATTCTAAATTTAATTTAAAAAGCAGATTAAAAGGCTATAGTGAGAGCATGTGGGAAGACTTGCTAGTGGACTGTGCCTTCCAGTATCAATGTTAACTTCCTCAAAGATGACCGCTATTTCTGTGATCTCATGGGAGTCGAATGTGATGGCAACAGTTCTTTTACATAGCTCCCAAAGGAAAGAACCTGTGCTTTCTGTACGTGCGCGCACCTTCCTGTGCGTGCGTGTGTGCACCTTCCTGTGCGTGCGTGTGTGCACCTTCCTGTGCGTGCGTGTGTGCATCTTCCTGTGCGTGCGTGCACCTTCCTGTGCAAGTGAGTAGTAAATTAGGTGCTTTTACTTTTTTATTTTAACACAAGACTGTGTACTTTAGCATACTGTCCTTTCAACTTTTGGATAGGTTTGAGGCATTTTAAAGTTACAAACCTGAGGGTAAAGTGAGTCACCTAGGAGGCAGGAGTGTGGAAGACAGCTCACAAGGTGCTCACAAGATGTTCATGGGGTTGGGGTGGGGTGGGGTGGCTATGTCCTCAGCTCTCAAGGCAGGGGAGGGACATGCCCTTGTCCTCAGTAACTTGGGTGAGGGGTAGGGGGTGCGGGTGCACTGGTTAGGGAAGCAAGAAAACATTTTGGCTTTCTCCTCAGAGTTCTGGAATGCTACTGGGGTGCTTAGAAGCTAGGTTGCCATGGTGAGATTTAACTATGTCAAACTCATTCTTGCTCCTGGGCAAGGATGGAGGGTGTGAGGGTCCTCTTAAGAGGACAGGAAAACCCCTGTCTTCATGCAGCCCAGGAACCTTCAGTCTCCTCTGACTGAGCTGTGGGGAGAACACAGGTGGAGGTCACCCAGGGTGGGAGGGTGCCCTGGCTGGACAGCGCTGCCTAGGGAAAACAGTGAGGGCAAGGGCGGCCTCGAACCGTGGCTGGTGGACTGGCAGGAAAATGCTTGAAGGCTAGAGGCCAAGCAGGTGGGCAGGCTGCCAGCTTTCTGCAGCTGGGCAAGAAATGACCTGGATTGGGGGAGGGTGGGGAGCAGGGCGGCTCTGAGCCCAGGGCCTCCTGGGTCATGGTCACCATCTATTTCATCCTTAGAAGCACCCAGCCGATAAGGGTTGTGATTATCCCTGATTCTGGCAGATGAAAGGAAGGCTTGAAGGCCTCCTCAGAGTCATGCACAGCTAGTTAAGTGAGAGAACCACAGCTCCCAACTGGCCTTATGTGACCCGAAAGCCCCTGATGATCTCACACAGAGAAACTTGGCTTCAACAAGGCGCCCCTGGATCCCTAGGAGCAGATTCAGGGGGCTTTCCCAAGATTTGGAGACAAAAGTAAACATGAAGGAGGTGGACTGTGTTTAAGAGCCCATTTCCCAAGCACCCATGTATTCTGGCTATCCCTGTGTGCGGAGGCTGGGAGGGGCATATATGGGCTGTGCTGCGATAAAATATTCCCTGTGTTAAGCTCAGAAAACGTGAGAAGCCAGGGAAAGCCGCACTGACAACAGTCTGTATTTAATCATGCTAAAATATGAAGGAATGTTTGTTAGCATAGCAAGAATCTATTAGCCCTGAAAATATCCATATCTATCCACATGAGGTGCTATTATGCAACACTTAAAAGGCTTCTGAAGAGTTTCTACTGATATGGAGGAATTCTTCTGACATGTTATAAGGAAGAAAAAATAGGCTTCAGTAATACCGGAAAGATGACCTCAATTCCTATTTAATTTTTTAGTTTTTTTTTCAATTCCTATTTTTAAAAAATGGTAAGAAATATAACAGTTGGCTGGTAATGAAAATTCTCATTGTGAACAAGTTTGTCACACTTTAAAAAAGAAGCTTATATATGCAGCTTGACTATAGAAATAAAAATGCTTAGAAAGATACATAATGAGTATGTTAATGACTTAATGAATAAATTGCAACCAAAAGACAAAAATGGTGGAAAAGGAACATTTATACTAAAAAGGATTAAGAGACTTAGGAGACACCAAATCAAATGCATATATATATATATAAAACATATATAATACACACACATACATATATTGGTTTTTTGAGACATGGTTTCTCTGTGTATTCTTGGCTGTCCTGGAACTCTCTTTGTAGACCTCAGGCTGGCCTCACACTCACAGAGATCCACTAGTCTCACTCTCCCAAATGCTGGGATTAAAGATGTGCACCACCACTGCCTGACTTAAATATACATATTTTTTAAATTTTTTTTTCTTTTTTTTCTAGACACAGTCTCTATGTAGCCTTGGTTATCCTGGAACTCACTATGTAGACCAGGCTGGCCTTAAACCTACAGAGATCTGCCTGCCTCGGCCTCCAGAGTACTGAGATTAAAGACATTCACCAGCACATCTGATTGGAAAAAAAAAGACTGGAAAATCCCAGATGAAATTCTGTAATGTTTGGGTTTTGAGAAATAATCCAAGGGGGCACAGTGTGGGGATCTCAGCAGCACCAGAGAAGGCACAGAGAGTCAGGGCTGAATGGCAGGGCCTGAGAGCGTCAGCACATTCTATTTTCATATCTATACTTTTTTTTTCTATACTAAAAAGTTAGCAGCTGGGCAGTGATGTCACACGCCTTTAATCCCAGCACTTGGGAGGCAGAGGCATGTGGATCTCTGTGAGTCTGAGATCAGCCTGGTTTACAGAGTGAGTTCTAGGACAGCCAAGGCTACACAGAGAAACCTTGTCTCGAAAACAAAAACAAAAAATGTTAATACTTCTTCTTAGATTATGGGGAAGTTTCTCTTTTTTTTTTTATATCTCCTATTTTTCTATCTCTCTTGAGCTGTTCAAATATATGTTCTGGGAACTGAACTCTGGCCTCTGGCAGAGTAGCAAGGACTCTCAACCTCTGAGCCCGAGCCAACTCTCCAGCCCTGAGAATGTACTATTTTATGAGGTGCGGGGAGAAAGCTGTTGTTTGTTTGTTGAAGAACTGCCCAATCTAAGAGACAGTGGGGTGGGGTGGGGGACAGTGTCTCAGTGGAGGAATGGAAGGACTCCCAGGTTGGAGAAGAATATAATGTGAACACAAAGGAGAACAAGGTGGTTGGTACCGGAGACTCTGTAACCAGCTGTAGAGCAAGGCACAGCCCAGGTTACAGCCCGGAAGAGAGAAATAGCTTTTTGGGCTCAAGGCTTGGAAAGTCATTGTGCTGGGATCAGAGGCCAGAAGGATGACCGGAGAAGGCACAGTGTGGGAAGGAGAAGCATCAACTAGCAAAGAACTTTGGAATGTGACTCTTGCCCTTTTGTCTGGGCAGTGTGCCTACTAGTGTTGCCTTAAAGTTCGCCCTGGGTTACGGAAGGAAGGAATTTTCTTCCTTATCTTCAGCTGGTTGACTTGCACTCATCCTTCAGATTTCCCCACCTCATTGTCTTCTGGTGTCTTTCTGCTCTCTGACTAGGTCAGATCCCCATGGCAGGCTGCCCTTCCCAACACTCAGCACACTGCCAGCTCCTGAGGTTGGGGGCCATCTCTACCTATCCCACCTCGCTGAGGGCTAAATGAAGGAGGGAAGCTGGAGCCTCTGGACTACACCCATGCTTTTGTTGTATCGTGGCCACTTTGGGGCGGAGTAAAAAATGTCCCAACTGCAACAAATTAGCTATGGGAGGGGGAGTCTTCTGAGCTTTGTCATCTCCCTAAGAACTCTGCCATGGTCTCTGGGCCTCTCATTGATGAGAGGGACCTGCGGCAGGGGAAAAGATGCTCCCCAGGGGTATATGAGAAGCAACTGTTGGGGCTTCCAAGATTAGCAACAACTTCAGGGCCAGGGTCTTGGCTGGCCAGGGTGAAGGAGCATTATTGCACAACATGCCTCAAAGCTGCTGCAACTCAAATGTCACCTTCCTGGAAGCGTTTCCTAATCTCCTCTTCCCTATTCCACTTACCCTCTTCTTCCATGAACTTCAAGGATTTTGTAACTAGACATTTTTGTGTGTGTGTTTGTTTGTTTAGTGTGATTGTTGTCCATTTTCTTTCCTCGATTGGACTGGAAACTTTAGAGTTTCGATGGGTGTCTGCTTGTTCATTCTTACAAGCATGTTAGCACAGGGCCTGGCACATAGTAAATGCTCAATAAAAACTCAGTGAATGAGTATGAGAACAACCTACAGAAAGCATTGGAAGGAAAAAGGAAACAGCTCGGGTCAAAGCAGGGGCAACAGCAGCCCCAGCCTTTTTTTCTGGCTGCCTTTTAGGGGCCTTCTAGGAAGTTCTTTGCATTCCTGATGCTGCAGACAAGCCTGCGCATGCCTAGGAGCTGGAATTTGTACTCAGGGCTTCTAGATTCTTGTAGCTAGGGCTTGGCCCCTGAGGAGGAAGCAGAATGGAAGCCCCAAAACTCACCGTCTTAGCATGTTGGTCAAACATAGAAAGGGAGCAAGCCCAAGCCCTGCTTCCCTCCCTGAACCAACTCTTCTCAGCTCCTGGCTTCTGCCTAGCAGGATGGCCCAGATCCCATCCCATGCCCCTCAGACCCACTGAAGGTCTTTCTGCTGAAGTCCACCCTCCTCCCCACCCCCATAGGGGGTTCCTGTCTCAGCAGGAATTTATACCCGATTGAAAAGAGCAGCTGGGGCAGCCAGGGTGGGAGGGGGAGTGGTGGAGGGCAGCTATCAAAGGCTCCAAGTGTGGGGGGCGGGAGAAGGAGGCATCTGGGTGCCAGCTTGCTCACAAATGCCAAGAAATGAGAAATGAGGGACAGGGATTGTGTGTGTGTGTGTGTGTGTGTGTGTGTGTGTGTATGTGTGTGTGTGTGTGTGAGAGAGAGAGAGAGAGAGAGAGAGAGAGAGAGAGAGAGAGAGAGGCTCTGAATGAGAAACAGAATAGACACGGAGACTGAATGACACAGTGAGCCTTAGAACAGAAGGGAAACGGAAAGAGTGAAAGAGGATGGAACACAGATAGAAGGCCACAGCGCCGCAGGAAATAATTGGAATGGAAGAGAAACAAAAGAGAACAAGGGACAGAGAGAAAGGAAAAACAGTCTGGCACTAGGAAGAGTTAATGTCTCTTTCTTTCCAATTGTACTGAGCACCGTGCTATGGCAGGCGCAGTACAGGAAAGGCGCAGACCAGGGCAAGGTGACACAGGTGTCAGAGATGGAGAAAGGGAGAGGCGGAGACCTCAAACTGAGATGGAGACTTTGGGGAGGATGTGGGCTGGAAAGAGGAGGCAGAGATAAAATCTGGTAAGCAGACAGGGCAGGACAAGTGTGGGGTCAGGAGGCAGCTGGAGAAGCAGGGTGAGGGAGCCCTAGGACAGCTTCCTGTTTCTTCTGTTGTCATGAGACTGTATCATTTTATAAGCAGTTCCACCTCCAGCTGTGTGGTTTCCTTTTTCCACAGCTCTCTCTCTCTCTCTTTCTCTCTCTCTCTCTCTCTTCATTTTCCTCCAGGTTCTGACTGGGGACAGCCTGCTTTTCTCTTGCCCCATTTCCTATTCTCTCTCTCTCTCTCTCTCTCTCTCTCTCTCTCTCTCTCTCTCTCCATTTTCCTCCAGGTTCTGACTGGGGACAGCCTGCTTTTCTCTTGCCCCATTTCCTATTCTCTCTCTCTCTCTCTCTCTCTCTCTCTCTTTCTCTCTCTTCATTTTCCTCCAGGTTCTGACTGGGGACAGCCTGCTTTTTCTTGCCCCATTTCCTATGCTCCAGTCGCAGGTCAGGCTAGAGCCAGGCTCAACCCAGAGAGAAGAATGTAAACAATGGATGGGTACAGAAAACCCTCCTCACCCCACCCCCACCCGTCTATCCCTGGGTCCTAAGGAGCCTTCAGGAGACAAGAAAATGTGCTTGTGACTGGGAGAAGGAAGAGGGTGAGTGGGTGAATTTTGCTTCCAAAATAGGTTGGAGTAGTCATCTCTTTTTCCTGGGGGTCTGTATAGCAGCACCCAAGACACAAAAGCCTCCTTGAAATCGTGAAATGAGGGAAGAAGCCATTTGTAGAAAATACCGAGCCCTCCCCTCATCTCCTCCCACGTCATCACCGAGAAAATGCCGCAGAGAAGAGGGTGGGCTGGAGATTCTGTCACCTACCCGCTTGTGCCGGGTCTCTGGGCTTGAGAGAAACGCCAGTCGGTGTTGGGCGGGGCTTGCTGTGGAGAAAACAGAGGGAGAGTGGCTGAGTACCCAACAGCGGTGGCTACGGATCCCTGGGGATGGGGGTGGGGAGCGAGCAAAGGAAGAAGGAAAAGGGATAAGATGGGGGAGGGGAGGCACATCTCCCAAAGGTGGGGGTGGGGAGAACCAACCCAGAGACTAACAAAATATTTCTTAGGATCACTGTGAATAAGCACATATTTCTTTGCTGAAGAAATGGATCCCTTTTTTTCCTGTCCCAGACTCAGAACATCTGAGCCAAAATTCAAGGACTGAAAGTGTCTTCTGTGGAGCTGGGGGAAAAGTGCGGCAAAGCGCCCCCTCCTCAAATAGCAGAGAGGCTTTTAAAATCCACCAGCCCTAGAAAGGAGCCATTCAGTTCCTCGGCTGGGAACAAAGCAGCGGCTGTAGCAAGATGGCTGCTGCTCTGGGTAACCCTTGTCGTGCCAAGCTGCGAAGTGGCACCTCCTCCAGGCCCTCGCTCTCAAAGACCTCTTCCCACAGCTAAATACATTATTAATTTAGGAGTCATGCCAGCCTGGGCCTTTATAGGGCATCCAAGCCCCAGGATGCCTCTCACCCCCAGAACTTCATGCCACACAATGGTCCGTGACCAAGGAGATAGAACAAGGCAGCTCTGTCCAAGGCAGAGAAAACGGCTGGGATGGAGTTCTGAGGAACCACATTCTACGGTCTCCGAGAAGAGCCTTCCAAGTCCCCAGCTGCAGCCCTCCCGCGCCCAGCTCGATGTGCAGGGCCCTGCTGGCCATCGCTTAATTTCCGAGTTCCGCGGGTTCTTCAGGGGATGTGGTATCACCCCACCACACAGTCTCCTACAGTCAAGTCTCTCCCAGTTCCTGGGACGGGCTGGTAATTAATTCTCACCCAGGCTCCCAGGAGAAGAGAGTGTGAGCATCTCTCATTACACTGGGGAGAAGGAAGACCCGGGACTTGCCAGTGACTCACACTGAGACTCCCAAGTGACAGCGGTGTGAGTGGAACCCAGAAGGTGCATCGGGTGCCGTGAGCACCCGGTCCGGGGCTGCCATGGAGAAGGGTGCAGACCCTTAACCACTGTCCCCTTTGACTACAGAAGGTGCGTGAGGGTGCAGGATTGTGATCAGACAGGAAGCCTAGCAAAACTCTACACCCCGTGGAAAGAGCAGGAGCAAGTTTGTTCAGCGAGGGCTGCAGAGAAAGGGGAGCTCCAAAGCCTTTCTGCGGCATTTGAGGTCCTAAGGAGGAAAGCACCCCATCCCTCCATCCGGTCTCATCCTAACAGAGGCCAACCATCTCTTGTCCAGCTCTATAAACTTCAAGTGCCAAGCAGTTCAAAGCATACACTGAAGTTCAACAGACCTGGGTTAGACTCTTCATATCATTTATTCCTAATTTGAGCGACTTGCTTGACTTCTGCCAAAGTAATTACCATTGGGCTAATAACAATCCAGGAACATAGGAGGGCACATGAAATATTCTGGTTCTTTTGTTTGTTTCTATTTTGTTTTATTTTTCAAGACAGGGTCTCTTTGTAGAGCCCTGGCTGTCCTGGAATTCTCTCTGTTGATCAGTCAAACTCAACAGAGGGCCTCCTGCCTCTGCTTCCCGAGTGCTTCTGGCTCTTTAGGGAGGTGTGTAGTAGGGCTCTCTCAAGCAACTATCAGAAGTATCTGGAGATCTTTCAAAACTATAAACTCCATACAGCAGAGGCAGGGTGGAGGAGAATGGACAGACTTTTTGAATAAAAGCTTCTTTGTTTGTGGAGACATGCTTTTACCATTTCTGTTTCCCCCGACTTTGAGGGCTACCTCTGGCATCTGGCAGAAGCTGTGGTTTCCCATCAGAGGAGGGAAGATTTGTCAAGAGTCTCAGGCACTCTGATCAATCCTCCTCAAATCCTGACCCCAGATCTCTGGGCACATTTACGACGGAGCCAAAGCCTAGTTTTGAATCCCCAGAGCAGGGGGAGGAAAGGGTCGCTGTTGCTACTGGGGTCCCAAGCCTGCAGTCCTAGGACTGCTTATTGCCCAACCAAGGCCTTGTATTTTAAGAGGGGCACAGGTACTGAGAGTGAAGGCCCCAGGGCACGCCAGACCTGGGGCCTAGCAGGTTCCACCCCAAAGGGCCAGCGTCACTCCTGCCTCAGGACATTAGGGGCGGAGGTAATCCCGTCTGCGGGGGCGGGGCGTGGTGGGAGGGCTGGAGAGAAATTCCTGAGTCCTGACTTTATCCCGGGCAGGAGCGACCTGGGAACCTCACCAGGTATTAGTTAACCGCGTGCGCTTCCGGAGAGACCCGAGGGGCTAGTTGGGGAGGGAAGGGGCGGCGCATGGCTTGTGATCAGCACCGAGGACAACCAGTCGGCCCAAGCCGAACACTTGGCGGCCGCAGTGGTTGGCTAGAGCTGGAATAAGTAGAGTTGAAGTTAAACGGTGATGTCACGAATCGTGAGAGTAGGGAGAAACCGAGCAGAAAGCCTCAAGAGTGGCAGATAGCACTGGAGCCGGCGCCAAGGAGGTTGGCAGCGTGGGTCGGTGGTGACCTCCATGCGGGACCCCAGCATCTGTCAGGTCAGTGTGAATTCACCAGTACCTGTGCGGGGCGCCAGCCTTTTCTGTAGGGGGGACAGGAGTTTAGCCCCCTTCTCTCCGCCCATAAACACCACCACCCCCGGATGCTCAAAACCCCACCTCTGACTCGACCACTCCGATTGTCCATGTTCAAATGCAGCCAACTCGGTACAAACAGCACAGGATCAAAGCCCCTTAGGTGGACCGGGCAGCTTCCCCGACGTGCCCCCGTCCCCGAGGGTCGCATGGAGCACCCAGCCCTCACCTGGCTCCGCTCCCTCAGCGTACTAGAACGGGAACGCAAGGCCTCAGGTTCCAGCGCCAGGGCTGAGGGCTGCTGAACGCTGAGGGGCCTGAGGAAAGTGAAGTCACTGCCGTCGGAGGCCGGTGAAAAGCACGTCCTGTAGCAATGGCTCTGAGAGTCTGTGGGCCGCAGGGTCACCTCCATATACTTTAGCGTGCCATCGGCACTCACCTGCAGGTTGGGGCTAGACTGCTTATAGAACTCCCTGGAGGGTGAGTCCTGGCCCCTGCAACACTGGCCCCCACCCCGGTCCCCATCTTCACGTCCCCTCAGACACTTAGCTGACATGAAAGTGAAGGTAACTAAGGATAAGAGACTGACAGTTGCCAGAGCCACTATAAGGTAAAGGGTGAGGTCTGAGCGCTCAGGAGGGTGTGTGAGGAAGTCGCTGGATTTAGGCATTTCCTCTGCATCCTCATCCTCCAGAAGCAGCAGTACTGTTGCTGTGGAGGACAGGGAAGGGTTACCATTGTCCCTCACCAGGACCACCACCTGCTGGCTGTCAGAGTCTTCCTCCGATAAGGCCCGGGCAGTGCGCACCTCACCAGAGTGTGCAGACACAAGGAACAGTCCAGGGGATGTGGACTGTGGTGACAGAGAGTAAGAGAGCCACGCATTGTGACCCGCATCAGCATCCACAGCTGTCACCTTGGTGACCAAAGAACCCGCAGGAGCAGAGCGAGGGAGACGTTGGGGGGCCGAGAGCTCCCTGCCAGGTCGTGGGTGCAGCACAGCTGGGGCATTATCGTTCTGGTCAAGGACAAACACGTGGAGAGATGTGTTCGCGTGCAGTGGGGGAGAGCCGGAATCTCGGACCCCCACCACAATTCGCAGCATCTGTAGCAATTCATAGTCAAAGGTCCGCTGGGCAAAGACTCGTCCATCCTCAGGGTTGACATACACAAAAGAGGAGGCCGGGGCTCCCTGAATTTCACTTCCTACAATAGAATAGGTGAGGTGGGCATTATCCCCCATGTCTGGATCTGAGGCAGCCACAGTACAGAGGAGAGAGCCTGGAGGCCGGTTTTCTGAGATATAAGCAGTGTAGAGCTGTTGGGTGAACTGGGGCGCGTTGTCATTAACATCGGAAATGTTCAGCCTGATGGTGAGATGTGTGTGTAGGGGAGGTGATCCAGCATCACTGGCCCGCAGGTCGATGATATAATGGGGTGTGGTTTCTCGGTCCAAAGGCTGGCTGGTTAGCAGGGAGTAGTAGTTTTCAGAAGGCCTGATCTGAAATGGCAGGTCTGGAGATATAGCCAGCTTCACCTCTCCATTTCTACCTGAGTCTCGATCCCGCACATTAAACAGCCCCACTACTGTGCCCACTGGGGTGCTCTCTAGGACAGGGTTGACCAAAGATGCCAGGAGCACCTCAGGGGGATTGTCGTTAGCATCCCCTACATCCACTTGAATCACACAGTGGCCCTCCATGGCTGGCTGCCCCTGGTCTCTGGCTCTTGCATGGATTTCATAGAAATTCGACTCCTCAAAATCTACTGGACCCAACACATGGATGGCCCCACTGCTAGGATCCAAGCCAAAGAGATTCTTTACTGCTTCAGATGTGTGGTCTCCAAAAGAGTAGTCTAGCTGGCCATTGGTGCCCTCGTCTGGATCAGTGGCATTGAGACGGAGCAGCACTGTACCTGGGGGTGTGTTCTCTGGGAGTCCCACTCGTAGAACTGAGGACTGGAAGGTTGGAGCATTATCATTGACATCCAGCACAATGACAGAGATCAGGCTGGTCCCTGAGCGGGCTGGGGTTCCCCCGTCCACAGCAGTGAGCACCAGCTGATGCCTTGCCTGGGCTTCCCGGTCTAGCTGCTGCTCTAGCACTAGCTCTGGGAATAGCTTCCCGTCCTTTAGGGTCTTCACGTTCAGAGAGAAGTGACTGTTGGGGCTTAGAGTATAAAAGCTCACAGTGTTGGTGCTCACGTCTGGGTCCTGAGCACTATCCAGTGGGAACCTGGTTCCTGGTGCAGCAGATTCTGAGATTCGCATCTCTCGCTCAGGAGTGGCAAAGCTGGGAGAGTTGTCATTGAGATCCAGGATCTCTACCTCTACACGAATGAGCTCCAGGGGGTGTTCAGTCACTACCTGGACAGGCAGCAGGCAGCTA